TTTGTTTTAAAGGGGACTCCTTGTCTTCTAGAGATGCGTGGAAATGTTTACAGGTGGAATATTAGGTCTGGGTTATGCTTTAAAATAATCGGGGGGCGGGGAGTACGGAGGAAAAAGGCTGGCTGTGAGCCAACACACCGCTGAGGCTGCTTTAGCCTGTGCTGGAAAGTTTCTGTGATGGAAGGTCAGAGAGCCCCCAACTAGCCACAAAGGACCGGCCTTGGCGGAGCTTGGCCAGACTCACCCTGCTGGCAGGCTTTGGGGTGTTTGATGTAAGATACGGACTTCGTGCACAGCGACCAGACGGTGACCCGCAGCTGTCGGGAGAGGGGAGAGAAAGCACACAGGATGAGTCCGTTTCCAGAGAACCAGAGCCAGGTCGTCGGCCCCCAAGCAGCAAACCGAGCACCCAGCTGACGTCAACGATTCCAGGATGTTCTGCCTCCGAAGGAGAGAACCCAGCTCAGGGCTTACATTGTTACCGGTGCTCTCCATTTGCAGTTTTCATTTTGTAACAATATTACTCGAGTGACACAAAGTTAAGTACAAAAGCATTTTAGTTCTAATTTCAAAGTAACCAGTGTTTACACTGTAATAAACGTAAAATGGTTCCTTTGTCCGAGGAGCCTCTTTATGTAGAAAACCCACTGGGATGCTGTCTCCACCGGACAGCTGTGAGGGGACAGACACCCTGAGAGGTCAAATGCCTGCGTGTTTAGACGCATCCACCTGAGGGCTCCAGAGCCAAGATGGCCACTCCCCGGCACCGACGCGAGTGGTCAAGAGCGGAACAGGACTTAAAGCTTAGGGATAACTTTTATAAAAAATGTGCAGAGCTATATACCATGAAATCACTGCTGAGAAGAATGATTCAGCTTCAACGCAATCTCAGCTAAAACATCCTAGCAGGATTTTTTTAAAAGAAATTGACAAATTCATTCTAAAGTTGATATGGAAATGCAAAGGTCCGAGACTAGCCAAAATAACTTTGAGAAAGGACAAAATTGGAAAACTCACACTGAGTTTGGATTCCAGACTGGAATCCAGTTTGGATTACGACATAAAGGTGTCATAATCAGGAGAGTGGTATCAGCACAAAAACAGACAAACATGTCAATGGAAAAAGATGGAGTCCAGACACGGACCCGCGCACAGACCAGCGCTGATTTCTGACAAAGGTGCAGAGTGGAAAAAGGCTACACGTTCAAAAGAGGTCACATGGGTAAACTTAGGAGCCAAAACCACAAACTTCCAGAAGAAAACAGAAGAAACGCTGATCTCAGGTTGAGTGCGGATTTCTTTCGACACAAAACGTACAAATCATAAAAGAAAAAATACCATGATAAACCCCACACGAGCCTGAGCCACATATATAAAATAAACTGTGTGTGTGCGCGTGTATGCGTGTGCGTGTGAAAGAGACAAGCTTGGGAAGCTCTCCACCTCACTAACAACTAGAGAAATAAAAAACCCAAAATGCAATACCACTGCAGCTCTATTGCACTGGCAATCATTTCAAATATGGATACAAACACGGTGGACAGCTGGACACCACTGCCTAAAAGCGGATAACCCCAGGTTACAACCAGGAGAGACCATCTCCAGAGGAGCGCGGTGTCCCACAGGGTCTCAGCAGCGGCAGACAGATCGTAACAACTCAAAAGTCCAGCAAAGGCAGAATGGCTAATGGCCATTCCTTTAGCTTAATGGCCTGGGGTGGATATTAAAACATATATTAAATATACGTTAAAAATTCCGAAAAATGTATAAAAAAATGGGGTCAGTTCTATAAAGTTTTACTGCCTATACTATCATGTAACTCTTGGGTCATCAAAAAAGTCATGACGTATGTTTGCGACAGATGGCACTAGTTCATTTTTGGAAGTACTAGAGTCATTCGCATCTATGTTATTGCTATGTCATTTGACAGCTGACAGTTCTAGCTTCATTNGTCTGATCACAGTGGAGACAGATAGGCCACGAGGGGTCACAGGAAAGGGAAAATCTGTTTCTAAGAAAACAAATGGCATCTGAAATCTGTCTGGGCAGAGAGGCCTCTTTCTCATGAAAAAAGAGAAGGGAGCACTTGCTCACTGCTCACATCTGCTCTCCGCGGCCCTGGGAGGAGGGCAGGCAGGGCGGCCCAGCGCCCGCCGCGGGCTCTTCTCGGCTTCCTTATACACCACCTGGAAGACAGGACGGACAGCGGGCAGGGGCGGTGGCAGCGCTCGGTCATGGTGACGTCTGACCCAAACACAGGGTGCTGCCACTGTGGGTATGAGGACCTCATGGGTTCCCCATGTGCGTTCCACCCGCGAGCCCACTCTATAAGAACCGAGGTGACAGAGGGGCTTAGCTGCCACAGCTGGTCACGCAGCCAGTGAGCAAACACAAGCATTTCAATGGTGACAAGTGACAGGCCCAGGGAACAAGGAGTATCTGTGACCTGAGGCCTGACAGGCAAGGGGCGAGCGGCCCACACTGGGTGGCAGGTCACAGGCAGGCCGGCCATGCCCCACGAGTGAAGTCTGTGGAGGCTGAGGTCAGCCTGCTCTGACTGGCCTCTGGCGTCCCCGTCTTCCAGCTCCTGGGCCGTCTGGCCCTCCCTCCTCCTGTCCGCACTTGGACACCTCGGCTCCTGGGCCCCCTGACCTCAAAGCCCCACCAGCTTCCCTGTCTCTTACTCAGGCCTCTCATCTGTGAGCAAACTCCCCAAGGCCAGGGCTCCTTTCCGGGTCCTCAGCTGTCCCCCCAAGGCCAAGGTTTCTGCCTGTACCCCAGCTGCCCCCCATGCCTGCTGGATGAACGGACACACAGTCTCATCTCAGGACCTTTGCACTTCCTGTTCCCACTGCCTCAAACAGCGGCTCCCCAGATCCTGTCCCAGCCATCCCTCGGCAGGCAGCCGTCCTGCCCACCCTGGGGAGACCCCCAGCTCTCCCAGCCCTGGCCCCCCATTCCACAGGGCAGGGGGTCCGTCAGCTCTTTTCCGACCATGGCCTAGAGCCTGGCGCTGACCAGCAGGGGACCTGGGACGCTGTGCAGAGAGCAGGGGCAGGTCTGAGATGGGCCATCAGGCAGGAGGGGCAGGGCCAGGGCACTGCCGTGGCTCCTCTGAGAACGCAGATAGGAAAGCCACAGGCCACTGGCAGAACGTGCCACGTGACAGGCTGCAGTCACTGGTTCATGGTGACAAAAGCTCCTGTGGCACAGCCAATAAGAGCAGTGAAAACGCAGTTTCTACCCTACCCCCCAAACGCGGCTCAACCAGAAACACCTCCACTTACTATTTTAGGGTCACCAATGGTTGCAGGATGTCCAAACTCTGTGATCACCTTCCACGTCACGTGATTCAGCACGCGCACCTGAGGAGAACAGCACGTGTGGTGAGGCCGCCGGCCACACACACTGATCCCGCTGGGCCGTGGGGTCACCGCGGGCGGGCGCTTGTCCCACCTTCCCGTCATAGCTCCCGACCGCCAGGAACTGACTGCTGGGGCTCCAGGCCACGGACTTGATGCCCAGGGACCACTCGTAAGCACAGTACGCTGACAGGAGCCGGCCGTCCAGGGAGTAGAGCAGGATCTTATACTGCAGGCGAGATAGTCCGGTCGCTCTGTAAGGTCAAACTAACCTGCAGCAGGTAAAAGCCAGCCTCCCAGAGTGTGTGAGATGGACAGACAGGTGGAGACACGGAACCAGAGTGCAGCCGACACTGCCCTCCGTGGCGGTGGGGACGGGCTGTCAGCTGGAAGGGAGGGCGTCACTGGAGAAGCAAGGGTGAGACTTGCAAAACAAGGGGACACGGGGCTGGTGACGGCAGCATCTAGAGGATCAGATACACATGGGGAGGCGCGCTCACCTCCAAACAGGTGTCCCACGCGGCCAGCACACAGCCGTTCGGGGCCCACTCAATGCCCGCGAGATCCTGGGTGTCGGTATCAAAGTGCTGCCAAAGGGAAGAGGGAGAAACGGGTTCAACTAGCAAACACTGTCTTAAACAAAATACACTGTGGTGTGTAACTGTTTTTCACACGTCCAGTATTCCATTTCCTTATACAGAAATGGACAAAAATAAGGGCCGGTGAGTGGCTCAGTTGGTTAAGAGCTCGCTCAAGAGTGTGAGCTCTGAGCAACAGCGGTTCGATGCCCAGCCTGAGCTGAGCTGCTGCTGAGCTGCCTAAAGGTGGCAGGATGGCTCAGCTAGAAAAAAAAAAAAAAGTTAAGAAATGGACAAAAACGCCTACAGGTCCTTCCTGCCCTGTTAAAACCCCGCGTGGGTGGTGAGGACCCGGGGGAGCCAGCCCACAGCCTCTCGCCGGCCCTGCGGGCGCTGCCTCCCACCATCTCTCCTCCCCTCTTCTCCCTGGACTCGGGGCTGATGAGGCGCCTTGGGCTCTGACACCATTCCAGAGGCTTCTCTGCCTCTGTCCTGTCTCTGCCCTGCCTTCAGCCGTGAGCACCTCCAGGCAGGGCTCTGAACCCCGGGTCCCTCGGCCCCTCTGGAAGTCTTGACCAGTGCACACACTCACCAGCTAAATTCAAGTTCACTCCCCTTCCCGATAAAGCAACACACACGCAAATACCACTAAACTAATAGAAAAGGAGAAGGGCTCCCATCTGATGGCAGAGTAACACACACCGAGTCTCAGAAACGCTTCGCCGTACGCAGCGTTTATGGGTGTCACTTGCAGTCACACACTGGACCTTGCCCTTTGCAGATAGAAAGTCACGTTTTCCCAAACTACATGAAGGGGCCCTGAGAGCTTAAAGGACACACACGGCACCCACTCCCCATCTTGTCCACTCATCCCTGTTGGGAGACAAGCGTCTCACCCGCAGCAGCTGCCAGTCGCTGCAGACAAAGACGCTCACGTAGTCCTTGCAGTCCCTCCTCTCGGCCAAGGCCAGGTAGCGGCCGTCCCTGGAAAAGGAGATTCCTACCAGCAAGAGGAGAGAAAGAGCCCGAGATCAGGGAGCCAAACAGGAGACACCACAGCAGTCATTTTCAGGAAGAATGACAAAACAAAAGCAGAGGCCAGAAGAGGGAGCGCAGCACAGTTTCCTGGGGACAAGGACAGTGCTCACACGGGAAGGACGCAGTGACCTGCCAGGGAGGGATCTGTGAAAGACACGAAGACCTGCCCCCGAGAGCCACAGACCGTTACAGAAAAATGCAGCACCTCATGGGTTGGCTTCTTTTTAGAAAATAAATTATAGGAAACCCAGCTAGTTGGAAGTCAGCTTGTCATTACATTTCTTATTTTTACTTTTGAATTTAATTATTTGGAAGAAATAAATTTAAGAATTTGGAAATAAACTTGAGTTGAGATGTTAAGCTGTACTTTCCAGTTCTGTATCAGCTGAAAAGCCCTAGGTCACACCTCACATTTCATGCGTCAAAAGAACATCCTGCCACTGGAGAAATGTGCCTGCAGTCTGGAGAGACACTAATATTCAAACTTAACAATAAAAAAGAAATGCGCAGCT